GTTCTGGCACCTGAAAAATAACTTGAAAAAGTGCTGATGCATTTTTCCCGAAGGTTAAACTTCTCTCTAAAACCTGTTGGTTATAATTATTTCCAGCTGCTACCAGAATGAAAACCTGAAGACCTATTCCCTCCACTCCCACCTTTTCTTTGCTGCCTTTTCTTTCACCACTTTGCTGCCCAGGGACCTCATTCAGAAGTCATCGCTTTGGTTTTGTATTAACCAATACTTCATCTGGCTGCTCACAGAAGAGAAGAATTTAAAATAATTAATTTTTCTCACAGCCATTTTGTCTTCAGTCTCCTTTCTTGCTATCAAAAGGCAGCATCCCCGGTATAGCCCCAGTGCAGGACCTAGCCACGTAGTTATTAGAGATGAAAGCTGTGAAGATGACAGATGAGCAAAAGGACAGCTTTATCACTACTAGGCTGTCTACCACATTCAGATTTGGCAGGAGTTCAAATAAAACTGTTGATTTTGGGTGGTTATCTTTGCTAACAACTGTCCTAAAGAGTCAGGAATGCGGGTCTGCTGGAGGAAATGCAGGACTGAGAGTCAGACTGCCTGTCTGCTGCTGGCTGATTGGGCTGGAAACATTGACCTGAGAAAAAGGTTTACCTACTTCAAAGGGCATCCCTCAAGTTTCTAAAGGAGGATTTAAATCGGTAGATGAATATTGCTATTTAGCATTAACAACATTACCTTGACCATCAGAGGACAACACAATGACACAAGAGCAGGTCAGTCAATAGCTCTTTGCTAGCTCATTTTTCTTAATTTCTGAGTGTGATTCTGACTGACAAAGATGATCTCCATAAATTACACCAAATTGTCACCTGTTTAAAGGACCAGTCCCAGTCATATCATCCCATTTACTTCCTGGAGTCTGTAGCCACCCTTCCCCAGGTGCTATTTGTATTATGATACACATTTCATTCAAGTTGCAGACCAAAACCTCTATTGAATGGGTCTCATTTGACCGAGTCTTCACAACACAGGCTTTTATGGAAAATACAGCTATGCAACCTTTATCCTAAAATAGTGCCAAACAGCAAAACACAAGTAGTTTCACTGGGTTTCTTTTGAACTCCTTTGTTATACCTGATTGCTCATAATTGAAAATGTAGTTGTATCTGCATTCCTGGCTCCGTCAACAAGCCCCTCTATTTTCTTACTATTCTGAAGCACTCCCCAAGCTTCTGCTAATAATTTTACTTGACCTTTATTAAGACCAAGCATTAGCTGGCAGTAAGATTTGGTGATCCCTTGGGTGATTGAGGCTCAGTGATTTACTGTAAATTATAAATAGTTCAAATGTTTCATTATGTTTATTCTTTATACAAGCTTTGTGGCCAGGTAAGCACTGACATGACATTCACTGTTAAATGATCTCATTAAACTTCTTAATTTAAGTGGTGCAACACTTCACCTGGCACATTATCCAAGGACTCCTGCAATGCACATTAAACATTCAGCATCAATAGATGCTCTACCATAGTTCACCTTGTTGGGAGTGAAATTTCAGTCCCTGAACATAAGGTTGACTACCTGATGCGGTTTCTCAGAGACAATAAATAATGCAAATAGATACCCATGTAAAGTAAGAGGTTAAAGACATCAGTAGCTTCGTCACAGAGTTTTGAAAGAGGCTCTTGGAAGAAAAGACTTTAAATCATGAAGAAATGCCACTAAAATTAAAAAAGTTAAAAGGAAAAGGAAGGAAGGTGCTGGTTTCTTTGATTTCTTTAAGAATGCAATGACTGAGAGAGATGATTTCTTGAGAACCCTGAAGGCATGTGTCCCTTTTTTATTCATAACCCTAGAGCAAAAAGAGAGGCAATCACACAACCTCCCACCTCAGAGTCGCTTGCAGAGGTTTGTCTTTAGTCATTTCATCCCTTGTTTTCCTGCTGAGATGTTTAACGGAGCTGAATGGAGTCAAGGTTGGATAATGCACCACATCATTTCACTTAGGCCAATAAATAGCATACTGCCTCACGACTAAAGGGAAACACAGTATTTTTGCTGGAGGTGCCTTTATATCCAGACTCGGTTTGCCAGTGATTTCTACTGTAGTAACAACTAGAAGTACATGGATTAGGATCTCCTTTGTGCTAGGTGCTGGACCTACAGACTCCACAAACTAAACATTAAGGCAAGAGGGAGAATAATAGGGCTATCTGAATTTTCCTAGCTTGCATATGTTTTATTTTACACATTTTTAATTGTTTCCATCCCAAAATGAATGGTTCTAATATTTTTTTTTTTTCCCCTGCCATTATATAGTATGATCCTTGACATCTGCTTCTGGACGTCTCTTCTGAAGGATGAAGGGCTCCTAGCAATTGTAATGGAGCCTGTGAACATACCAGACTGCTCCCTGGACAGATTTAAGCTTCATCATATAGTATTAACCCCACACACTGAAAGTGTTTTTCTGACTTGTAAGGCTGGATTAGCTTTTATTATAAGAGAAGTAGTAAAGGTTTCAGTGTTACAGATGGAATGACAGATGGGAAGCGAAAGCTTAATGTGAAGCAGCTCTGGATAAAAACTATTAATCCACAAAATTCATATGTACTTATGCAGGGAAACCTAGCAAAAACCACTGCAATATGACTAACCAGTCAGAGAAGTGTAAACTGCCCCTAGCCTGTTATGTGACAAGTCATGGCATGAGGTCTGAAAGAAGGAAAAACCCCTCAAACACCCTATTTACTATTTCCTGGAAAAACAATCAGCTCTCTATGGGGTATGCAGAAAGGTAATGCCTTCCTGAAGATTATAAAGAATATTAATTTATAGCATCTTCACTATGAAAATGAAATGGACTCATATATATATCTGATGAGATAACATTTCCAGGGTTTATAGCTGTAATATTCCATATCAAAAAAAATTTAACAGTACCTATAAGTCACTGTCATTAAAGTTGTAGCACTGAAAAAGTCTTTTTACTTTTTGTTGAAGTGCATGGTGTGGAGAGGAAGCACATTGCCGTCAGTTCTGGTAACAGAATACTTTGACAGAAAGGGAAGCAAGCACTTCAGATGCCTGCGTGGCTGCTGAGAGCCCACCATGCAGCTCTGAGAGAGGGTGCAATGGAGAAGCACAACCTTCAAGAATTTCACCCATGAAGAAACAAGATGGCACTTGTTTAGAGTTTGAATGACTGCAAGATAATAGAGCATTATTATAAAGAATCCATTAACACCCAACTGACTACAGTCTAGTCAACAAATCCTGTGATTGTTTATGGCCATGTCTATAAGTGACTGATCCCATTTGGCCTTGTGGTTTAACTTGTTCCACAGGGAACTAAGAGCAGTTGAGACCTCCACAGGTCATGGCCTCTGCATTACACAATGTTTAGGGTGGACTTAACACCCCAGGATAACTGGATACATCTGCTGGAACTAGTCTATAATTATACTAGACCTTCAGCAATTATTGTCCTACAATTTAGCCTACTTGATTCAAAGTGCCATCACCTACCTCTTCCTTTATGGTCTTGCATTAGTCTACTTTTTATCATCCGTGCAGCATTCCTCACCAGGAAAGTGAACAACAGGGAATAACAAGCTAGCTTTTCCCAAAACTCAAGAGATATACAGAGAACTACATACTCTCCCTTACAAGCAAGGATAGTATGTCAAAATTGTAAGGTCTCTTCCTGTTGGACACCAAAAGTGTTTAAATCGGATGCAACGTGAAGTATCGTGATTTCTTAATTCAAATCCCCACGTTCCAATATCAATGCAGTCTGACTCTTTTGCCCTTCCCTAATTTTTCTCTCCAAAATGTGTTGCATTTCACTGACAGTGCTTAGAAATGGGCACTAGCAATAAGGCCTTTTGTCAGTTCTTACAAAATCCTTCCTAAGGCATACGCTCACGTTTTTTTTCATTTTTCACTTCAGTGGGGGTTTCTGTCTGAGTAGCAGCTTCATAAAGGGACCCATACTTTGAAAGAGATCTTGTGGAAACCTAATCAGTGAAAGGCAGTGAAAGCATCTAACATATTCTATGAGTATTAAAAGCACGTTATGTCATCACTCATCAGAAAATCGCCTAAGAAAGTTATTTCCCCTTTCATCAATTCAACATACAGAGGAACAGAAGTCACATGGAGAATTTCCTCTTTCCCTCTTGATAATTCTTACAGCCTAAACCCAACAGTTTAAGGACACTTGTTTTTTTGGAGGGGTGGGCCTTTTTTGGATGTTGGGGGTTTTTTTGTTTGTTTTGTTTACAGACTACCTACTTTTGCACAACGTAGTAAAACTTACAGAATGCAGCTGTGGGGCCTGGGTTACGTAAATCCAGAAAATACAATTTCACTTAAAATCACGAGCCTTGTCATATGGTGGTGTGTGAAGTTCTTTGCCTGACACCATGTGAATAAAGATATTCAGGTAACAGTTGGTGCTGAAGATATAATTGACTCCTATCAACTTATTTGTCACTTCTACTATCATTATCCTCCGCAGAAAAAGTACTAAAAAAAGGAAGAGGGGAACATTACCTTCACTGAATCTACATTCATACCTTCAACACTTTCTGAGACATCAAATCAAACTGTTGATCAGAGCCCTGGGAAGGGAGAATCTCTCTGTGCCTGGGGTCCATCTGCTGAGCCCCAGTACTTCTGCTATTTTACTCATCCCCTCTTGCGGGCACCCCTTGCTGGAAATAACAACTAAACAGAACAGCCCCTGCTTCCTCAGTAAAGTGAAGAACAAGTGCTGCCAGCCTGCTCACAGCTACAGTCCCTCCCAGGAAAGCGGCAGACACACAGGGGTGAGGTGATTGTCTCATTGGCTAAAGTGTGGCTGTCAGACACCAGCCTCACCAAGAGGAGTCTTCTGCTGTAAGACAGAAGAAACTGCCCCTCTGACCTCTGCTTCTTGCAGCACAGCATGGGCATGTCATCCCTTATATCCTTCAATACATATTTCCTTTAGGAACAAAACATGTACATTCTTAAAATGCTCATTGTACCTGATCGGGTAGTCGGCAGCACTGAGGTTAATGAAGAAATCCCATGGCCAGTCATTCATCTCCATTAAGTCCCTCATGGTCTGCAGGTAGGTGGACAGAAGACTTGCTCCTCCCCAGATAGTTGCCATTCTCCAAGAAGTGACTCTCACATTTGGGTACTGGTTGGCAAACTGGAGCACTTGCCGGTGCAAGTAATTGGATCTCTTTACAGGAGAAAAAAGTAATACATTCAAGTTACTCTGTCCAAAATTGTCCCTCCCTGCGTTCACTAACCACCAACTCTACTTCTTGACTCGCTGAGCGTTGCCATTGCTTTGCCCTCACTTACTACGGCGCACAACCTTCTTTTGCTAAATGCTAATATAGAAATGTACAGAGACTCCTGTTTAGTTCTTTTTATTACTACTACAGTAATCACTAATTGGTGTAACTAGCTCTTATTTATCAATTTTCATCAATTGATCCTGAAGGGCTTTCATAAAGGAGGTGACTGTTACTACCTCCTTTTTACAGTGTGAAGTAACTTGCCCAAGGCACCTCGGGTCAGCTCTCCATGCAGTGGGCCACCACTGTCAGTCTGCATCAACTTACTAATTACTGTTAACTAAATGTACAACAGACAGACACGGATAGATAGTCATAGACATATAAGGAGAAATGAAGGCTGTTACACAGAGAAGATAACAAGGAAGGAAAAAAAAAAAAGAGGCTCCAAACACATAACAGATGGAGAGACAAAAAGTGACATGCACTCTATGCAGCAGAGGTAAAGAGAAGATGAAGATGACAAAGATGGGTAGACCGACAGATGGCCAGACAGGCAATTTATAACCAGTGATATATTACCTTGTCAACATGAATGTAATAAAAATGGTCTTTATGGTAAATAGCCTTAAACATGCGTTGGAGCTGCCGAGAAGCTCTGCCATGAACAACCAAGACAAATGCGATCCTGACTGGGTTGGCTGGCATGTATTCTACGGAGTCCTCATCCCACTGTACATTGTTGTTGGCTTTTCCTGTTCAAAAACAAAACACAGGACATCTCTTGAGTGTATCCACAGGGCAGGGGTGCAGAGAGCAGTACACATTTCACCTTGGCTCTTTCTTCAAAAGCAGTTTCTAAGGGGAAGAGAGAACTCATGAGGGGTGCCAGCCTGCATGCCATCAAGATCGTACCCCTCTCCTCCATCACTGTACAGGGTCATCGCTCCACGGGCAGCAGCTGTGCCAGCCTTCCCCACACAGCCCTGCCCGTGTGCCTCAACCTGGACAAGGCTGCATGAACACAGATAAGTATCCAAATGTTTATGGGTCGGACCAAGCTCTACCTGGGTATGCACATTTGCATCTTCAAAGGAATCACCTTAAAGTTTCTAAGCACTGTTCAAAGTATTAAAAAAAATGCCAAGGCCAACTTCCTCCCTCCTCCTCCAGAAACGAAACCCCCCATTTATCAAAAGATGCTGGTTCCCCTCATCAGCACAGCTCTGCTGAGAAGCTGGTGAAACTCTGCTACTTAACAGCTGCTCAGGATTATCTCAACTGATAGCATTTATTTGTAACAGCAGATGTATACTGGAACATTTAAATGGCAACCTGTGTATCTTCACTTCTTTGTGTAGGAGAGGGGCTCTTACAAGCCTATTTTAAAATTATGTTCATTTTTATTTTAATGGAGGAATTTCTGATCTCCTTTTTCTAAAGCAAACACCGCAGTGTAAGGTTAAGACAGGATATACTGATTAACTGAAGACCTGGAGGGACGTTTTTGCTCAGGAATTTAAAGTGCTTTGGTTTTGGTTTGTGTAACAGCTCTTTAACTCAAAAACCTGAACACAATGTAAGAAAAATACAATTTTATCCAAAACCTGACATTAATTCTTCAGTTAAACAACCTCTTCAGTGCTCTGACCTTGTAAGGACCTTTCTCAACAAAAAGACTTAGGAAGAACCTGGAATTTTGAATATAAACAGAACAAGGAAGGAAAGTGCCTCAAAGCTCAAAAAAACCCCTCTGGCCCCAGTTTTCCTCCTGAATATTTTAACTTTTTTCCTTTTTAAATGAAAGGCAGTATCAATGTCTCAACAGTTACTTAGTCTCTTCCCATTCCCCTACCCTCCACCCCCGAAAAGTACAATTTTTCAGAGTCCTAAGATCTGAGTTGTTACTTTGCTTTATTTCCTCTAAAAGGTAAATCCATTTGACAGTCTTGAAAAGTCTGAACTTCTGATTATACTGAAAATATGTATTTAATTTTTGGAAATGCATGTGAACATGGGCAGGACTCAAACGTTCATTTCCCACTACAAGTAAAGGTTTGGAAATGGCCATGCATGAACTGAACCAGCTAAAAGCAGCAGCTGCAATCATGTGTGAGAACGTTAACACACCTGCCTTCAACCACATGCAACACTTTGGCCAAATATGATACTTCAAACTCAATGCACACCTATGTTCTCAATAAATAACTACCTCAATAAAACTCCACAGCCAGGCTAGCAACCACCACTGGGACAGGACTTTAACCTGCTTTGTTTGAAAGTGGTGTCTCCTGTGCCCTCCCAGAAAAACAACAGAACTGGGTTTTACACTCTTCTATAGGAACTACTTATCACTTTTATTTTTTCCCCTCACCATCAGAAAAGCTGTTTTTTTCCTACCTTCACCACAAAAGCCTGGAGAGCCAATTAAGTGTCCAAGTGAGTTAGACATAAATTGATGCCATTTAGGAGATTCCAGGTGTCCAGGGCAGATATTCATACTATTAGAGGTTAGAATTTCCTAACTGACTTGAATTTGAAGGAGACTCAGGAAAAGACCCTCAGCAAACTTGGAAGTATCAGAGACGGATCTTCTAACAGCTAACAAAACCCTCAGGTTTGAAAGAAGCTCCTAGCTCAATCATCCTCTTTTCAACATGTCATGGATCCTCTGTTTCTTCCTAAAAACACTGAGGAGTGTATCTGGGTAAGTCATACCCAGTTTCTGCACTAGTGCCCTTTGGGATACTCCCATTCTTCTCCCACTTCCACGTACCCACTATCTCAAGACTCCTTTCACAGACAGTGGGGACACAACAGGCTTACGCTAGGTTGCAGGATGAACTTGAGGCTGCACCTGGGCAGTTATCAGACAGCCTGAGTACAGCCACGAAGCCCACTGCGCCTTCCAAAACCTCTCCTACAGTTATTAAAAAAACATGCTCATGTCTTTGATTTGATACAAGGAACAAGAAAGAAGATATTTGCAAAGCGTGAAAGGAGAGTGAGCAAGAGGGAAAGACTTTTTCCCAGGTTTTGGAAACTGGAAACATATGTAGGTAAAAGTAAACAATACCAAAAGCTTTTTTTTAAAATGTATTAATTACAAAACAAAAGTTGGACATAGAAAAAAGGCCTTTGCCTATTCCTTGTTGTTGCATCTTCTCTTTATTAAAGGGAGTAGCATAAACTCAGAAAAAACAGACTGATTGAAAGTTTGACAGAGCAGTTTCAGGTTACCTAAACAATTTGATCCCTTATTTGTACTGAAATGCCCTTGAGTAATTGAAACACTCCTTTTAGACAACCATGAGAGAGAGATTCTGCTGCAATGGGAGCAGCACATCCCAGATGGGATGATGGTTTCAACATCTCCCATAACCCTCCCTTCAAGTTGCACCTCCTCAGCAGTGCTTCCCTAGCACAGCTGCTTTAAGTCAGAACCTGTTCTTTCCATCCTGGAGGTCCAGGAAAGTTTTATGTGTAAGACATGTACCCAGTCTCTGGAATAAGGCTCTTTGCTGGACTATATAAGGGGCTAAAAGGCAGCTATGTGCCTATCCAGAAATATACAGAGATACTGAACACTGAAGAGCCTACAAAGTCCCAGAGGCTCACTGCCCCATGTAAAAGACACTTGCCGCTCTGCAGCCCCTCAAGGAACATCTATCTGCAGTAGTATTGCTCATAAATTAATGCAACTTTATTGCCCCTAGTTGTATTCAGACTACTCATCAGGAAATTTCTAGGCCCATGAGTCACTCTTAACTTTAAACGGACTGTGCAGGTTTTGGCTGGGATAGAGTTAATTTTCTTCACAGTAGCTAGTATGGGGCTATGTTTTGGATTTGTGCTGAAAACAGTGTTGGTAACACAGGGATGCTTTAGTTACTGCGGAGCAGTGCTCACAGATCCAAGGCCTTTTCTGCTCCTCACCCCACCCCACCAGCAAGGAGACTGGGGGGGTACAAGGAGTTGGAGGGGACACAGCCGGGACAGCTGACCCAAACTGACCCAAGGGATATTCCAGACCGTGTGATGTCATGCTCAGCATATACAGCTGGGGGAAGAAAAAGGAAGGGGGGCACATTTGGAGCAATGACGTTTGTCTTCCCAAGTAACCATTATGCATGATGGAGCCCGGCTTTCCTGGAGATGGCTGAACACCTCCCTGCCGATGGGAAGGAGTGAATGAATTCCTTGCTTTGCTTTGCTTGCTTGTGTGGCTTTTGCTTTACCTATTAAACTGTCTTTATCTCAACCAATGAGTTTTCTCACTCTTCTACTTCTGATTCTCTCCCCTGTGCCACGGGGAGTGGGAGAGAGTGAGCAAGCAGCTGTGCAGTCCTTAGTTGCCAGCTGGGGTTAAACCACGACAGTCCTTTTTGGCACCCGATGTAGGGCTCGAAGGGTTTGAGATAATGACAGATTTGATTGGAATGTGCTAGATCAAATTTATAGCTGTTACTGCTGTTTAGCTATTAATTGGCAGGCTTCTGTGCTTGCCATGGGGCTTGCTTGCCTTACTGTATGTTAGAGTCTAGTGCTCATCAGTGGGACACCAACAACTTAAACGGTATTTCTTTAAAAAACCTCCACCACTAATTCAATAAGACTTGGATGAACAGCATTAAAGGATTAGAAAAAAGCTTAAATTTCATTTCTTCTATCATTTTCAGTCTATTTATTATGCCCATTTACCTATGCTCAGTTCTACTGTTTCTCCCACAAAACTGATGAGCTTCCCAGTGCATGTGCTTAGGGCTTTAGCACAGCGACAGGGACAGAAAGGGATGGTGAAAGCAAGAAAATGTGCTTGCAAGGAGAACTGACAGGGGAATGAAGGGCAACTGCAATTGCTAAAACAACCCATTTTTCTTTTAAACTGCTTTGATTTCAAGCTGATGATGTCCCATCAATGCACTCAAATATTTTTAGTGGTTTTCATTACATTTTTGGATACCTCTCTTCTGAAATTAGTGGCTTTCTGCAATGATATGTAGAAGGTGAGGGGAATTTAAAATAGCCATATTGTGGGTCTTCTATTTCAAACTAACTTGCTTTCAATACCCACACTATCATTTATCTAGCAATTACTGAGAACAAAATTCTTCCAAATTTTCACCTGAAATGCCACCTCACTTCATCTGGTTTCTCTAATAAATTCCTGTAGTGACTTATTTTCCACTCTGCTATTTTCCTACTCTAACCTCTTTTTTCACATGCTCCTTCCTTCCTTCTCTTTTAGGTTTAGGTTTTTACAGTCCCATTTTCCACCTGCATACTATTATGGCTTCTTTAATCTAATCCTATTCTTGGCTGCCTGGAATTTCACGAAGGTAAGAATGTTGTATTTTTTCCATCTGTCAGAATATCTGCTACTTCTGCTCTATAGTGTTACTTCCCTGGTTTTAGCTCATGGCTGATTAGCACCCTCTATTTTGCAGGCTACTCCACTGATAAAGAAGCAGCCTGGTTTGCAAATGAGATGAAATTGGCAGGAAATACTAAATGTGAGTACCTGCTTACTAAAAAATACAGTAGGACTTCAGTGCTGTATGAACAACGTCAAGATCTGAATAGCTCTAGCCACTGCACTTCTATAAAGCTTGTGCATACTTAAGGCTTGCACATCGTGTTAACGCCTGCATTTTAATGATCTGCCTCTAATGTAGGAGCGCATCCCCTTCTGGGTGTTAGGACAGAAGACAGGAAAGATAATGTCAGATGACTTCACTTAACATTGTACCATTCA